CCTCCCCCCCCCCACAGCCCCATGGCCACCCTCAGAGGGGGCGAACCCCACTTACGTGCCGCTTGGTGCAATTAGCATTGTGCAGGACTCGTTAGAGCCAGGCAGGCACCATCCAGGTTGTGCTGCACCGGCTCTGCTGAGGCCGGGGCAGGGGGGGAAAAAAACCTCTGCTGCGCTGGGTCCCTGGGGTGCAGCGGGTGCCCCCGGCGCAGCGGGTGTCTCCAGTGCAGTGGGCTCCCTAATGCAGCACAACCCACCTCGCGGGTCCTGCCAGCTGCTTCCTCGTCCCTCACCTTAAGGCGCGGGTATTTTCGGGTGCCAGATCTGGCGTTCGTGCTGCGCTGGACTGTGCTGCTGGTGAGGGGTGTGAGAAGCTGGCGCGGGTGCTGCCTCTGAGCCCGCAGGCGCTGTGCGTTTCCTGTGACGTGAGCGGGTGCTGGAGCGAGGGTTTTCTTTTTCACTCAGCTAGCAGCTTGACGCTGACATCGTCTTGGCCATTGTCTTGTCTTGGCTGGTCCCCTCAGGAAGGACATTGGTGCAAGACAGAAGGTCCTAAGAAAAACCCTGAGGGTGATTAGGGAACTCAAAAAGCTGCGCTGAGCTGTGATGGGCATCAAGCAGGTTTGGGGGGGGGGGGGGGGGGGGGGCGTGACGCTCTGCACACAGAGAGCAGGATGGGTGCACACTCGGCTTGTCAGTCCACGGCCGTGAAGCTGGCTCCAGGGCTCGGAGGCTCAGGACAAGCTCAGGCCCCAGCTTGGCCTGGTCTGGTTTCAGCAGTGAAGGCCACCAAACCACAGGGCTTGTTGCAGGCTGCTGTGGGCTCATCTGCATCAGCAGGTGTAAAAATAAGGCTCTGACAATTCTCCAAAGCTGTTCTGCAGAGCAAAACGGTCTCATCCCCATGTGCTCCCTGAGTGGCCCCAGGGCCAGGTGCGTGGCTGGAGCAGCTTGAGAGCTCATTTGGGCTGGGCTGCTCTGCACATGCCCTGGGCAAAAAGCAGCCAGGGACAGCAGGGCAGAGGTGCTTGCCCGCAGCACAGGGTCTCCCCTTGCTCAGCCCCTGCAGCAGGGAGCAGCAAGGCCTGCAGCATGGAAATGCAGCAGCGCAGCCCCTGCACCATGGCACTGAGTGCAAGAGCTTTGTTGCTGCCGCACCTAAAATCGAAGTTGTGCTCAAACTCCAACATGCTCAAAAGTTGGGGGAGAAGGGGGATTGGTTCCTTGAAACCTCCCCAGCGTGGCTGCTGCGGGGAGCGCCGTGGCCAGCGCTGCCTCAGGGATGTGCCATGGCGAGCCAGATGCTTGTTGCAAGTGCTGCACCTTGGCTGTGCCCAGGTGCTCCAGGCCGCAGAGCAGCCAGCCGGCATGGGGGAATCACGGCGCTTCTTACCGAGCACTGGAAAGGCCAGCTCACCCTGTCGGTGCAGCACAGATGTGGCTGGGATGCGCCCAGGCATGGCTGGCACTGTGAGGAAGCATAGCTGGGCCAGAGGAGACCCCAGAGACATCACAGGGAGATCTGGCCAGGCAGAGGTGTTTCACTGCTGCTGCATTCCCCATAAGTTACCCTTGAGTGGCCTCACAGCAATGCCATGCCACTATGCAAGGCAGCACATGGGAGCCAGCCCTCCTCCAGGCACCGATGTCCGGCCTTCAGCTGAGTCCTGCGGCCTGACAGAGGTTGATGGAGGGACTGAAAAACTTCCTAGGGACTCCTGCAGCTTAGTCCAGGAAGCCGCTTGTTCTGGATGAGCTGTGGAGAGCACATCTGTGGGGGAAGACCTACAGCATCCGCTGCGTGGACCTGCTTTGTAGAGCTCCCTTGAGCTCACAGAACAAGGCCGAGGCAGGCTGGGCTGAGTAATGCAGCTGGTGCTGGAGTCACAAGCACATTTTTATGGGACTGCATGGTAACTTGGACTGAAGTATGGGTTTACAAATCCAGGATTGCCATCTCATTTTCCCCCTTGGATGGTCAAGATTATGTGACTTACACCTCCTTCCAGAAACAGCTTTGCCTGCCTCCAAAGTTTTAACTAATCCCTTAGGGCCTGGAGACAATCATTTCTGCCTCCTCTCTATGCAGACAAAGTATTTTTTTGATATCTACTAATGGCACCGAAGGTCAGCAGGCACTCTTGTGGCTCTGCTAATCCAGCGCTCACGCTTTGCCCAGGACTGACTCATGCCTTTTGAGCAGTGAGCTGGCGCTCGCAGCCCCACCGCGCATGGCTCTGCACCCCCTGCTTCCTGCTGAACCGCTGCCAGGGGCTTGCTGCTTTGTAGCCACCCGCCCAGACCACACAGCTGCGGCTGAGCATCCTGCTGCTATTTGTTTCTTTGACAGTTACTGGTCAATTGTAAAACACCATGATGGGGTGATGTGTGTGCAGAAAACAACAGCTTTTGTGAAAGCAGCAGCCAGCTGGGCCTCATGATGCTCCTGAGCTTTGAGGCCTTCCTGCCTACTGCCGGTCCTGAGCCTGCTCCTTTGCGCTCAGGAGCTCCCAGCTGTCCTGGGATGTCCCGCCATCCTGCCCCAGGGCGGGAGCAAGCCCAGGCATAAACAGATTTATAAAAAAAAAAAAAAAAAAAAAAAAAAAAAAGCATGGATTTGATTATGTCTTGGAAAAAGTTTATTATTTGCCTCCCCATATGTGGCTCTGCATCCCCACGTCTCAATCTGCAGACCCTGGAGCCCAGGCCCTGGAGCAACCATCTAGGCCTCTTCCTGTGGCCAAGGGCAGTGCAGGCTTGTGGGAAGGCTGCCCACCGTAGCCTTCCGCTTCTTTGGTTGACTGATGGAGGTGGCAAATGTGGTATCTCTGTTGGTATCTCTGGCCTCAGGCTGCAGCTGGGACAAAGCTCCCTGATCTGCCTGCCAGGCTGCCCTGCTGCAAACGGGCACAGGCAGCAGTAACTGTGCCAGCTCAGGTGCCTCAGACCCACTGGCTGGGGAAAACAGGACACTGCAGAGCAAAGCAAGCCACAGCGATGGTCTCTGCAAGTTGTTTCAGGAGTTAAACTAAAATGATAGCAGTATCGGTGGGAAGGAGCTGATGAGGTCACTAGGCCGACTCCCTGCTCCGAGCTAGACCAGCTTGGCCATGGCTCTATCTTGAAAAACCTCCAAGGACAGAGATCCTTTCCCTGCCCGCGCGGCCCCCCCCCCCCCCCCCCCCAGTTTGATCAAATCTGAGCCTCTCAAACCAAAATTTTTGGCCATTACGCCTTGCTGAATCATCTGGCAGTACTGAGATGAATTGAACTCCATCCACTGCCCGCCACTGCCGAGCACTTCACAGTCCTGAGCGCCCGCAGGTGGGTCACCTTGGGCAGGGCTGTTCACAGTCTGTGACTCGGGGCTGGTGGGGGAGGGCCCAAAACTGCACGTGGAAGAATGACGCTGACTTTTCCAGCTTCAAAGGGATGGTGGTTTTCTGAGTAACATGCGACACCTTCTAGCACAACAGGAACAGCCCATGAGCAGCAGCGCAACAGAAACCTCAGCCCACAGCACTAGGAAACCCAGCGTTTCTGTTCGTGGCTCTGGAGAACATTTTGGCAGGGCTGCTCTCAGTGAGGATGACACCACGGTGCTGAAGAAAATGATACCTGTTTTTAATGACACAGCGCTTTGGGAACGGGGAAAAATCTAGCTCCCTGGGCTGGGAGTTCGTCCAAATTAGCTAATCCCAAGGGTTGTGCGCAATCAGAAATTCAGTTCTAAGTGCTTGGGAGACCCAGAAAGTGCCCCCTCCCTCTGGCTGGTCCTGCAGTTCCCCTGGGCTGGACCCTAGCCCTACACATGCCACCTCCCAGCCCCCCCAAAAAGGTCCGGGAAACGCTCTGGTGTTTTACACAGACTGACTCTAACCTCCAACATCAGAGCCACCCCTCGAGGTGTGGAAATGCAAAGACCCACGCTGTTTGATGTCCCCTCCCGCTGGAGTGTCCAGTTCACATGCTAGCAGCCAGCAGGACGGGACCTAGGCCCTGTAGACTGAAGGGCAGGGTGATTTGGCACCCGACCCCCCCCATCCCCCCAAGGGGAAGTCCATGCTGGGCTGTACTGGTCAAACTTTGCTTCTGGATATGGCTAGTATTGCTCTCACTACCCAAAGCAGCACTTTGTCCTTTACTAAACTCAGAGCAATTGGTCTCAGCTCAAATTCAGCTTTGATGTTTGATGCTTATATTTGTACCCAAAGAAGCACTTGGAGTAATAAAAGATATGATGCCCTTCAGTGCAAATCTTATCTTGCTTTGCTTATGCTTCAGCCCATCAAGGCTATTAAAAAAAAAAAAAAAACAACTCCCTCGTCAATCATCCCCCCTTTCCAAGTGCTAAAAGCTCACCCATTTACTCTCTTGGGTTCCTTGCCCTTAGGTAGCCTTCAGTTTTGAGGTCTCCTGTTGAAATGCACATCATCATAATCAGTATTTGGTGAGCACACATCATCCCCTATTGTGGTATTAATTCCTCTAACTCATTTAATTGTCATTTTAATATTGTGCTTGCCTTTCTTTCGGTGTGTTTCTGTATTTTCATAAGGGAACTTGGGGAAGAATCCTGTGCACATTTATGTTCAGCTCCTTCTTAGTGTAGTTAACTGGTAATAAAACGCTGTTGCATATACAGTTCTTTTTTTTTTTTTTTTCATATTTGGCTTTCCATCCGAGAGGATGAGCAGGAGATTGACAGGGCATTCTCGGAGACTGTTCAGCTCCAGGAGTCCCCAGCTCCCACTGCAGCGGAGTTGTCAGAGGGCTCAGTACCTTGTGTAAAGGTGCATCATAACACTATTGAAGAGGGCTGGAAGCTGGTGACCTCTCGTAGAAGGAGAAAGGCTCTTGCTCCTCCTCAAGACTTACCCTTGAAGAACAAGTTTAGCGCCCTCCAAGCCGAGGAGGAGCTGGGCATGGCTCCAAGGGAGGCAACTGGCCTGGCAGACCCTGTGCCGTGCAGGAACCCCCGGAAGAAACGGCGAGTGATTGTTGTGGGTGACTCCCTACTGCAGGGGACAGAGGCACTTATCTGCCGACCTGATCTCTTGTCCAGAGAGGTTTGCTGCCTGCCAGGGGCTCGAATAAGAGATGTCATGGAAAGACTGCCAAGGCTTGTCCACGCGTCGGACTACTACCCTCTGCTGATCTTCCATGTGGGTGCTAATGACACGAAAGGCAAACTGGAAACCATCAAACA